CTCTTCTGTTTCACCAAGGTTCGGTTCGCTGAAAACCTCGCATGCTCTAAAGACCGTCGGACAAGAAATATCCTTATCCAGCCCAGTTTATATGGACTTAATTCCATCAGATTAACCAGAGAATCTAGCCCATTAAAAGCCCATTGGGCTACCACTCGAAACCTTATCCCAGACGACGACGCTGAATTTCACACAAAGGCCGAAGCTAAAAAAGGGCTGCACGGCCATTCCCTGAGCCACTGATAAAAACACACAAAATCAAAACATTTTACAAATCCGAAAACCTTCTGTTTGGCAGCAGAGAAAGTGAAGAGGGAAAATGAGCGGACCATCAAAGAAAGTAGTGGATGTGGCATTTAAAGCATCGAGAACCATCGATTGGGATGGGATGACCAAGCTTTTAGTCTCTGATGAGGCTCGCAAAGAGTTCGCTACACTTCGTCGCGCTTTCAACGAAGTTAACTCCCAACTCGAGACCAAGTTCAGCCAGGTCTCCCTCCCTCCCTCTCTCTAGATCTCTCCCCTATTTCGAATTGTTTTTGAATTTCTTCGTTTCTAGATATAGGATTTTGGTGAACTGATTGTATTTAATTTGCATATATTTTCTTAATCATAAAGGTAGGGATTTTATATTTATCTCGATCATATTTATGATGGATTGGTTATTTTAATTTATTTTTTATTTTAATTTTGATCAGGGATTTCGTTGGGATTTTGGAAATGGATCTGGTTTGCATTGAAACTACATTGTTGCCAATGAAAATTAAAATGAGAAATTAGTGATTGATCTGTTCTCGTACTATATGGTTATATCGCGGGTAATTTATTGTTGGATTGATGAGAGAATCAAAATAGTTGCCAACAAGAAAAGGGAATTATTTTGCAATAATGTTTGCAGTTGTAAATGTTGGTATTTCAAGCTGCATTGCACTCAATTGTGTCTCCAATAGCAGCAGAGACATATTAATAGGGCATACGTCGAGGGGCATTCGTGCTTGTCTATTAGGAGTGACTTTGTATTTCCAAAACCAGCTCCGTGAAAGCTGTTCCTGCTGTTCTTACTTTTGATTTTTAGCTTTCTAGGTACCTTTTCTGGTGATTGTGAGTATTGTTTAATGATTGTTGATTGTTTTATTGCGCAGGAACCCGAACCCATAGACTGGGAATATTATAGAAGAGGAATTGGGTCTCGCTTGGTGGACATGTACAAACAGGCATATGAAAGTATGTTTCATTATTCATTTGCAGACATGACTCTCATGTCTTTTGGTTTACCTGATTTACGCTGTAGTATAACTGCTGCCTTATGCTGATTGATACCTGTTTACTTGATATGTTGTTATTAACTGCTGGTGTCAATGATGTTGCTGGAAGTTACTTATGTAAGGTTTCCTTCTCTATATTGGATAAATAATTTAACTTGGGACACTATTGATCCTAAATGATTTATTATTTCTAGCAACCATCTGCTTTGGGTTGATTACAAATGCATCCTCCTTTAGTTATTAGATGCTTGTTGAAGGATTCATATGCTGACACTCATCGAGTGCTTGAACTTTTAATAGCTAGCAGCATATATATTTCTCTTCATGTTTCTAGTGGTGCAGAAAGACATTTTATCCCTGCTTTAGGCCTCACTGTTTTAATTGCCCTTTAATAGTTGATCTTGAGGGAACACTTAATGGATGGACTTCCCTGCCATAGGGGTCTACAAATATTTTCCAAAGTTGAATTTCAGCTTAACATCCATAGATGATGGGTCTCTTTGTTTGATCTTCGCTTATTAATTCATATTAAGAGGTTTTGTGAGATGGTATTATGAAAGCTATCCAATGTATGTTATCATCCATCCTTTAAAACTCATGTGATTTTTTTTCTCTCTTTATAAGCCATATTGAAAACCTGTCTGATGTTTCTGAACTTGCTTATGATTCAATCTATAACCAAAGCCTGAAAACTTTTACCTTTTAACCCTTTACTTGCTTATAAAAATGAAAGGAAAAAAGAAATTACCCTTTACCTCTCTGATTCTGAAACTCCCTCGTATTCCTCACATTTCTAAAAGTCCTTTTGCTTTCTGTTTGTTTTATTATTTTTTGAGTATATTGTTTTGGTTCTATGCTTCAGAAACTCACCTTAATGCCTTGTTTTGTTTGCTATGTGTTTTATACTGTTATTAAGTTGATTTATTAATATTTGTTAGGTTGTCCCTTGTTTGATACTGATTTCCTTCCCTGGCATGTGTTTGCCAAATGCATGAATGATGCTTAGACTTATACTTTAGATTCCTTACACCAACCTTAGTTCCTGCACTTTGTGTGAACTGTTTTGTTGCCTACAATGGAGTATGTTTTGTCTGCTTTAGGTTTGGTCCCTAATGTAAGTAGCGTTATTTTTGCATTTTTTCAGTTCTAAAGTATAAAGCAAGTGTACATAGAATCATAGCTCTGCTATCTTATTGGATTAGAATCAGTGCGTGACAGGAATGTATTCTGGATATTCATCCTTATAATGTCTGGTTACTAAAATGGAGCCACTTTCTATTAGAATACTGAATTGAGTCAACTTGTCCATATGTTTTTTGCAGGCATAGAGATCCCGAAGTTTCAAGATAAAGTGACTCCAGAATACAAGCCTAAATTTGATCAATTGGTGTGAGCCAATAGTGCAATTCTGATTGTTATAGTGGTTTTTTAAACTTGTCTCTTGCAACCACCCCTCCCTCCCCCCACTCTCTCTTACAGTATATATTCTCTCTTGGTTTTGCAGTTGGTGGAATTGAAAGAAGCAGAGCAACAATCCCTGAAAGAGTCTGAGCGTCTGGAGAAAGAAATTGCTGAAGTTCAAGAATTGAAGGTGAATTGAAATGGATACTTCATCTTTTAGTTTTATTCTTGTCCAATTTATGATTTCTAACCACCAGACATCAATTTGAGCAGACAAAAATCAGCACCATGACTGCAGAGGAGTACTTTGAGAAGCATCCTGAGCTGAAGAAAAAGTTTGATGACGAAATCCGCAATGACTATTGGGGTTATTGATCACATAGCTGATTTTGGCTCCAACCCTGAAATTCTGAACTTGTGGTGTTTTCCTTGTTCCATCTACAATAATAATTTCTAATAGGTTGCTCCCAGTTTGTAGAATTTGACCTTCAGCAATGCCCATGTCAAATGCTAAACTTCACTTGGACAAGCAGGTTGGGGATTTACAAAGCGATGTGCTTACTTCGATCAGCATCAATTGTTATCGATCTCTTTTTTACATTTTAAACTGTTTATGGTGAAAATAATCCAGGTGTGATTAACATTTTAAACACTCATTCTGGATTGCAGTCCATTCTGTTTTGAGAGCAAGGCTTTTGTTTTCCCAACGCGGGTGGAAACAAGAGAATTCTGTCTGTAGCTCTTGTATGAACTTTTGAGGTTCATAAACATAAATATGATGAATACATTTTTTGTGTAGCTTTCACAGCTGTTGCTTGTTTTCCCCTTTTCTTTTCCATATTCCTAATGGAATCCCAGACTGACTTCACCGTTGATTGAAGTATGTACCTTCCGAAACTGTCATCAAATAATCATCGTAGATGCTGCTAAGGCTCGCTCAAGGCTCTTCGAAGATTCTAGAGAGGTTGATGATTATTCTTCATAAAAAATATAAACAAAAAACAAAAGGGATCATTCTTGAATCTTGAAGTGTTGGATTATGAGGTGGTTTGTTCCTTGCTTTCGATTGAAAAGTTTTATGGTGTCAAATGAATAATTAGGGATATTTAATTTTTGAAAAAAAAATACAAGTAAAAAAAAAAAATCTAGATGAATATATTTTTATCACTTTTAATAGGTTATAAATTTTATTTTATTTTTTATGTTTATTTAAAAAAAAATAGTATAAGAAAATAACTAATTGGATACTGCACCATAAAATCTCTCTTTTTGCATCGAATTTGAACTTATAAAAATTTTAGAAGGAAAAATTCATATTAGAAAATGAAAAATTTACGGAAGTACTTCATTAGTAAAATTAAAAAAAGAAGAAGTTGATATGCCAAAATCAGCAAGATTAAATCCATATATTTAATTAAGATAAAAGCGAAAGGCGGTGTGCCAGTAGCGAGGTTAAGCTTGAAAAACATGTCATCGAAGTATTTGATCGAGAATTTTGTAAGTCAATGTAGTAAAAGGAAGAAGAAAAATCGAGTGTGGGATTGAGAAAACATGTAAAGCTGGCGAGCTCATAGTGGATGATCTTATTCTTAAAACAAGAGGCGAATCACTTTGAAAACCTTCAACCTTTTACTGGTCGCAGGCCAACTCGTGGATATAGGCTTTTATATGTTTTTTTTTTTTGTTTTTTTCTCTTATGGTTGGTCGTGTTTTTATGGCTGTGCCCACTTGAATATTGGGCTCCTTTTGACTTTGTAAATTGTGATTCATGTTCTTGTGCTGAGAGAGGATGTTTTCCCTCCCTACCTCCCTCCCTCCCTTTGCAGGCACAGAGATCCCCAAGTATGTTGCCAAGCATAAACTCGATGCATCTTCAAGCATTGCGAAGTCAAACGTTCAGTATCAAACATCCGACGTTCGTGTCCTTCGGGTCTGGTTCAGTTAGTGATCATTTCTCGGGAGTCAGATGCTCGTTGTTTTGCCTGGGAACCAATTTCTTTTTTTTTTCTTCTAAAAAGTCGATATGCATGAATAGAAGAGGCGACGCCAAGTCTAATAACCACCATGACACAGATTAATCTGAACATGATAGCAAAAATGCGATGCTGATTTTGACTAGTTTTTAACCAAATACATCCATGAATTTTCTTTGAATAAAAAATAAAATAAAAACCATAAATTAGTTTATAAAAATCATTCCAAATATAATTTTACTCTCAAAAAGCCATCAAATCCCGACAACGTTTGTAATTTTCATGTGTTAACAACAAGCAGGTGGATGCTGGATGGAGATAAAGATACAGAAAATGCAAAATTAAACACCATCCTTGCAAATGATTTATTGAATGCAGTAAGATTCGGGTTAAGGAAAGAATAAAATAACCGCACATAAAATGCACAGTATAAAATCTGGGAACAAGGTACAAGATCACTGCAAAAACAGATCATCTGCCATTCTTGGCAAACCTTGAAAATTCTGAACAAGACATCCTGCAATAAGATGTCTTGACCTGGAAAGAAAAGGAAAACAAAAGGGGCTTGTCGACAGATAAAATTTGATGCATCTGTCGCTAGAGATTCAGAAAAAGAAAAGGAAAAAAAAAACTTGACAGATAAAATTTGATGCATCTGTTGCTGGAGATTCAGAAAAGCAAAAATATCTTCCAGCAGCATTCACAACTAAAACCTGGAGGCTGCGGTTGATAGGATTCTTGTTTCAGAAAGGTCTTTATATCTATCCAGGACTCATCAACTTTTTTCTGAGACAGCTGCTCTAGCTGCCTCCTCGTTTTTGTCCATGGCCTTCCTTGCTAGCTCATAGCCTGCAAAGTTCATGGCACCTAAGGGAGCAATCCAGAAAAACCTCGGCACTGCTCCTTTGAATAAGCCAAGGGGCCCCTCATGTCGGAGTATAGAGAAAGCTATCAATGACATTGATACAGTTCTTCCTGGTGGAGCTGTCATCATTCTAGTTTTCAGTACATCAAAAGGGGTAGTGATAACAGCAGTTAGGCCTCCAGATAAAGCCCCAACAGCAATTGTTTCCCAGGGTTCCAGCTCCCGCCTTAGAAGTTGTTGAGCAACCTTGAAGAATCACGCCAATTACACATTAAATGGAAAACAAGAAACTAAAGGAAAAACATGGCAGAAGAATACGTTATGTTTTTATAGAAAATAGAACATAAGTCAGTCGCACATCCTCAAATGCATCTAGGGGCAGTAGTAGGATCAAGTAAAGCTTAAATGTTTCATCTAGTGGCAGGTTTTGGACAATTTATTAGCATACTTCCTTTCCCCTTCCCTTCCGTAGTCAAAACTTCACTCCTTACAACTATTAAGTTTCTATGACATATATTTAGTAATGAAAGTAACTATTAAGTTTCCACATAATATATTTAGTGATGAAAGAAGACGTGCTTCCCATTCCATGTCCATTAACACTGTTCACGTGCTAATAATTTAAAGAGAACAACCAATTCTTGGCATTAAACTGTTGCACAAACCCCAACATAAATGTTATTACTACAAATCATCTTCAAAATAAAATCCCTTTTAAGAAAGTAAGCAAAAAAACACCAAGCCCCCATGGTCTCGAGGACTGCAGTCAATAATGGCATTCTACTGATGCAATTGTTTTGCCAAATTTAGTGAACTACAAGAAGTACCATGCTCTGGTTGACACGCACATAGAATTGAAAACTGCATCTTTAAAATTTTACACAGAAAAAAGAATAAATTTATTAATATTTAAGCACAAAAACCTGCTTACCTTCTTGGACTCGCCATAGAGACACATGCCAGCAACATAAAATGGAACCTCACGGAAAAGAGTTGCACCAGTCCCACGAAAGAACCCCTTTAGGCCATCTTGCTGCCAAGTACCAACAATAGCCTGTCCTACATTGTCGAAAAGGCCAGCCTGCAAACGCTGCTTCAATACCTCACAAGGGATCCGCACTGCTGTCCCCAAAAATGTGCTGCAAAATGATGCTACAGATTGAACCTGTATAACATCCCAATGCATGTTAACAGTTGTTTCAGATTAGAGTTGGAATAGTTGTTTCAAAACAAAATAAAATTGGGGTACGGGCCTTAATCATATTCATTTGTATGCATCACTTGTCAAGGCATCTCCTTTAGCACAGGAACAACTCTTGAGCTTGATATGATAACATAAAGTGCAAGTCATGGAAAATAGCCTAGTCAAGAACTGAAGTAAACAATTATATACTGTGCTGATCTATCTTCTTTCAAACATAAAAGATTTGCAACAACTGATAAGCAAGAAAAATGAATTGAACACAATGGTTTGAGCACCCTATATAGATTTAGTGGAAAGAATCACTAGGCGAGCCAGAAAGCAACTGAATTGTTTTGATCAGTAGAGATAACAATAAGAGCAGCAGTAATAACAATAAAGCTGAACTGAGTGATACGAGAAAACATTAATATTGTTGAAAGTCTCATGCTTAAGCAGAATCTATTAATGCTTTGCCATCACACAAAATAAAGAAACGGCTGCTCTAAATCATCACTGCCAGTTTGAACTCTTTGCAATTAAACATCATTCAAGAGATTTGGGAAGACCAAGATTTAAATGATTTAGTACTTGTAAATACAAAATTAACAACCCCAGTAGCATAATGATAAGCATCACCTGGATATCTGTGAGTGTTGGGGCAACATTTATTAGCACAAGTTTGGTAGCTTCAAAAATCCCAGTTCGCAAGCCATGGCTGAAATGCCCATGGAGAAAAGGTGAGCTAGTAGATAAATAGTTATTACTCAGCAAAAGGCTGGAGGAAAAAAGACTAAAAAAAAACCTTGAAAACTGTCCCCAAATTGCAGGAATTGAACCCCTGTACAATCCTCGAACTCCAATTTGTGGAAGTTTTGAAATTATTTCTGGGAAAGTCAACGTTGATGCTTGCACCCGAGTCTAAAAGACCATCAACACAACAGATCATGAGAAGACCTAACATCAGCACTCATGGAAAACAGCATGCATATATATATATATATATATATATATATATATGTATATATATATAAGAGGATTACCAAAAGTAAATTAAGAAGACATTGCTCAATTTAACTTCACATCTATGTGCTCCAATATTTAATTCTCTGGAATGTAATTTTTTTAAGTTCCTCTTTTTTCCACCTTTTGACAGTCTAATACAAGTCTATTATAAACAAAAGCCGAGATACTGACAGAATGAGAATGAGGATGACCAACTAAAGGGGAAAGGCTATGTAGAATTTGATCATGAATAGCCCTCTATACGACAAATAGTCAATGTAGCTGTAATTGATCCAAAGTTTCTATTTCCATTAAAGACAATCAAGTGAACAAAAAAACCACTGAGTACTACACCTTAATTGTATCAACAGGATGCATAAGAGAACAAGAGAGTGCACATGAAAGACCCCCGGCCAATGCAGATCGTAAAACGCTTCCAGCAGGTATTTCCACGGGTGGTGCAACAGCAACAACAGTTGCTGCTTCAAACCATATATTCCTGTATGTATTAGAAGAAGAAGCCAGCATCAAATAGAAGCAATCAAGAAAATTGCACATTTTCTGTCTGATCAAATGAAGGCAAGCTTGCAGTAAACGATGTGAATGAGCCTGCACAAAACTTGTGTAATAGCTCTGGACAAATAAACACAAACATTTTACCTGGGATCATCTTGAAGTCGATCAGGAGGCAACAGAAGCATAAAATTACGAAAATGCCCATAAGAAATAGATTCTTCTGTATCAGCATTCAGAAATCGCATCATAGCAACAGCATTGTCTTCATTCACTGGAAGTCCAGAATTTTTTAGTGATGCCAATATTTCACTCTTTTGCAGGGTCCCAGACTTGCTCAAACAAAGAGAAGTGTAAGCACGGAGAATTGTCGGTTCCTTCTGTTCCATCAAGGACAAAAACTGTTTCCAACCAAATGATTTTGAGAATAGGTGACTTCTAGTACGATGCATGAATTCCCGAGCATATTTACGGGGTAATTTTCTCTTTCTCAACGCAATTTCGAGATCCTCCAGAGTCACTTGACCATCACCATCTCTGTCCAGTTCCTCAAAGAATCTTCTTCCTATAAGAATGTAAGGGTGCAAATAAGAGCAATATTTAGGATGAGAGATACAGAAAGGATTGACAGTATAATCAGAAATTCATTTGAAGATGAGCAATTCTCTCTTCTCTTCTTTTCTTTCTTTTTTTTTTGCCTTTACTTTCTAGTCTGGAGAGTAAAAAATTAACAGTTGCATCTACAAAAAAAATTTTAGATAGTGTTCAGAAAAGCGGTTGGAACAATATTTTAAAAAAAATTAATTTTTTTTGTTTAAAATTAATTTTTTATATATATTTTCAGATTGTTTTAACGGATAATGTTAAAAATAATTTTTAAAATATAAAAAAATATTATTTTCATGTATTTTCAACACTTTTAAACACAACTATTACCACCCTCTATTACACCCCTTAGTCAAATAAGATCTCCTTTTCCAGCGAAGCACGTTCTGCAATAGATGGATATATCAGCTCCATTCAACTGATATTGAGTAAACTTTGACAAACAAGTGTTACTCGTCTATGAGAGTACCAGAACAATAACAAGTAGTACGCTCAGCAATATTTCATGTACGTATATTTCCAATTTTCCATAGACACAAGCAGGAACAGCAACCAGTACAGGTAAATTTCCTAAGGAGACGAGAAACCATACCTTCGGCCTCTGTGTATCTAAAGAAATCCTGGACAGAGAACAGCTTTTTCTTGTCAGGATATTCTTTAGAAGATCGACCAAGCTGCTGCACAAGCTCAATCAACTCTGTGAAAGAAACCGTGGATAATGTGGATCTCAAACGCTCTACATTCGATAGCGGAATGCTTAGTATCCCACTAGCTAGTTTCTGTGGCGAACTACCCCCAGTGTCCTCAGTGCTGTTGGTAGGCGCGCTGCTTACACCATCGTCGCCCTCTTCATTAACTGAAGAGGATACTCCAACTATGCTTGATGGTACCCCACCAACTCTCGCAAAACTCAAATTTCCCAAAAATCCATCTACATGCACCTTTTGACCTTCCCAAATACTCATGATTGCCGTCAAATGATCAAACTGGGAGGGCGCTGGCGTTGAGTTCGAACAATTATTTTTACAACCCTTGACATTTCTTTCCTGTAAACTCTGATCAAACTTCTGTAGATTCTGAATCAAGAGGTCAAATAGAAACCCTATAAAGCATTCGATGGACACGTGTTTCTCTGTTTTACCCTTCTCGTTCACATTCTGATACCCTTTAACAGATTGAACCTTCAATTCCCTTTGCTTCAGTTCGCCCGAAACCTTTGCTTTTGAGCCATTTTTGCACAAATGCAAATACTCCTTATCCTCGTCACCAGCTTTCTGAAACCGTTTCTTGTTTGTTTTAAATGGGCTAGGAAATGCCTGAACAAAACCATTAACCAACAAAGACCACGTCAAGGCAAACCGCAAACAATTTACACAAGACTCATCTTCATTCCCCGTCTCCTTCTCTTTCAACAATTTCTTCGAAACCCCAACCTTATCATCACTGCCATTTCTGGGTCCACTTTCCAAATTCATCGAAAACATCCTCAATAGACTCCTAACAGGAACCTTGAAGGATAAAAATCCTTTCCTTTTCTCTTCACTAACCCCGCAATGCCTATTTTCACTATTTCCAAGACTAACACTCTTCTTTTTCACAGTGAAGATTGACACTTCACTGCTATTATCAGTATCTGAATCACGGGTTGCCTTATGATCATTCTTTGAAACCCCCCAACAAGTTTCAAGATCTTTAGCAGCTTTCCGAATCCCGAGTTCAAGTGGTGAAAGAGCATCTCTGACCACTTGAACTGAATTCATAAAAGACTCTATTGGATCATTTGTAGACACCATTACAACAAAATCACAATACCCCAATCACAAAAATCCAATCTTTTTACTCCCCCAGTTCTTATATGTACCTTACCAGTTCAAATCTATACTGAAAGCCTGATAAAAAACAGTAGAAATAAAACTGTGCCCGGAAAAGCACAAGATTAAATAAAAAAGAAAGAACTAGGTGCAGCAAGCGTACAGTGGACTGAACCGGATTGGGTAAGATCCATTTAAGCGGCCTTAAAGAGTATCTGAATCTGAAATTGCAAGACCCTAACTATACGGACCGGTAAACGGTGTAGTTGTGTCCATTTTTGCTTTGTTGTTGATAGAGTATGGGAAACGAGAGGTTTTTTATATATATTCAGTGAAAGCTCAGTTCTTCGTGAGAGGAAGAAAAAATCGTGGATAAAATTTTAGACCTTCAGAGAGAACAAAGTGCTATATAAAATTTGGTGGATTCTTTTTTCAAAAAAGGGAAAGAGGGAGAGGATTTGGTGGCAGGGAAGGAAGAGGAAGAATAGGCCTCTGGCTTGGTTTTTGTTTTTTATTGTTATAGTTTTGTGTTCTGAATTTTTGTGAAATTAAAGTGGGGGGAAATTACTTCTGCTGCCACTGCTGTTTGCTTTGCTTGATCTTGTTTATATTGGGATATTTATTGATAAAAAAATGGATAAAATCTGACGTGAGGACCCGGTGGAAGGGGAAGACGACACTTGGATCAGATTCCGAGTGCCAACAGTATACTGTGATTGTTGGTGGATAATGTACTAATCCATGTCTATCCACATTGGGTTTTTAAATACAAAATTTTGAGTGTTGTTTTTGTTTTTGTTTTTTCATAATTTGAATTCTATATTGCAGCCATTCATTTGCTAGACCCATTGCTCTTAACTCTGCCGAGCCGAGCAGATCCATCCAACACCTGACGTGGAAAGGATTTCCACGGTGTTTGATACGGTAATTTTAATTTTTTAAATGTTTTTTATTTGAAAATTTATTAAAATAATATTTTTTTAATTTTTTAATATTAATATGTCTAGACAATAAAAAAAATACTAAAAATCCATTTAAATAAAAAAATCAAGTATACATTAAATACACTTTTTAAATTATTTGAAAAAATAATTTAGAACGAGATGTCAATTGATTATAAAATATTATTCAATACCATATTAAAAAAACTTATTTTAAAATTATTTTTTAAAAATTACTAATTTAAATTTTACAAACCTCAAAATCAATAAAAATTTTCATAATCATTAATTTTAGAATTTATAAAATTAATCAAGTTCCATATAAATTAATTATGACATTCGTGTTAATCTAAAAAATATATATTTTATATTGTTGCTAAAGTTATTTGACTTATATCTCCTTGTGTGTCATATAATTTTATTTTTAATGTAAAAAAATATATCAACATTTTTTATATATTTTTTACATTAATAAATAAAAACTATAAATTGAAATTTTATGTGTATAGTTAATTAAATAAATTATAAATTATTTATATAATTAAAATAAATTATAAAATTTAATTTTTAATTAACTGAAACACTTATATTAATGTTAAAAACACCCTTGAGCAAGGTGTCTTGCACCTGTAAAAATTATTTTTAATCTCAAAACATCTAAATAAAATATATATACTATAGAAAATCTATCTAGAAACTCAAACAACCTGAAATATTAAAATTAACCCGAAGTCTTATCCTCTTTACTGTAATTAAAAAAATTGAAATCGAAAGTGATTAGATGATCACAGGAACAAGGATAAGATTTTATCCCACTTCATGTAATAAAAAGGAATGTACCTCGATGACAACTCGAAGAAGATCCCTGATAGACACTAGCGTCTAGACATACAAGATATTCATGCATTATTACAAAGGACTCTCATCAATGCTACTAATCCTACCAGTCTAAATCAACATTTATTGTTATTATTATTATTAATATTCCTCGCAGATATCACAGATTTCAAAGGGAGCAAGTTTAGAGATCTCTCGACAAAAAATAAAACAAAATAACTACATGTCGAACAAAGGGCATGACCGGACATTTAATTTTTATTTGAGAACATGTTGATAATTTTTTTTAAATATTTTTTTAAATATTTAAAAAATATTTTTCATATTAATATGTTGAAATAATTTTAAAAAATAAAAATATTAATTTAAAATAAAAAAAAATATTTTAATTTTTTTAAAATATTTTCATATCACCAGACCAAAACACACCCTAAACATAATACCATACGCAAATAATCACTGCCTATAAGGTATTGGCGTACAATACCACACCCAAATATCCACCACGCACAAGGTATTGATTTTTTTATCCGAGACAAAATAAATAATTCAATATCTAAATCAATGGTTAAATCATATTAAATTGATAATCAAATCAATTCAGATATGACTGATTAAACCTAAATAAATAAAAAAGATGGCTTTAAAAGGAGGAAAAAAAATATTTTGTTCAGAGTGAAATTCATACTCTTTTCTCAGGAAAAAAAATGCAACCATTTCACCAAAATCAACATGAATAATTTAATTTAATTTAATTTTAATGCGATATAATAGTTACAAGTTGAATTATACAGTGTAATTAACCTAGATTGACATGCAAGATGTAACCCTCATGATCTTAACTTGTAGCTATACAAATATTCCACGTGGCAATGAAGCATCACGCCACCTGCATGGACGACTCATGGCCCAATCAAACATTTAAAAAACTAAAAAAACTGCAAATATAGGTGAAACCCCAATAACGAAGATCCAGCTCAATTTACAGAGCGAAGCCCACAATCAGAAAATGCAACCGGCCCTGATCAACGAAAACACAAAAACCTCTTTAAAAGGAAACGTAGCCGTTTTAAGCCGAAGCGCAGAAATCAAATTCCAACATCCTGCAAACCTCACAAATCACAAGCCCTAACCCCCCACCGGTAGCTTCTCTCGTTTATTACAGCCGCTCTTCATCTTCTCGCCAGCGATCTCAGGTCAGTCTCTGATTGTGTCTTCTCTCTATCTGGGTTTAATTTTGTGTTTTCTGCATAAAGCAACTCACCACAATTGAGGAAATCTTGGGGATAATTTTAGCATTCTCTACAATATAAAAGCCAATCAACTAGCAAGCATGCTTCTTTTCTGTATTTAGCAGGAAAAAAAGATGGGTTTTTAATAACATGCCAGAATTTATAGATTCATAATTGAGTTGGGTTATTTGTGGCAGTTTCAATGATTTACACAGCGATTGATAACTTCTATTTAACTGATGATGAGCTACAAAACTCCCCGTCAAGGAAAGATGGAATCGATGAGGCTACGGAGACAACTCTTAGGATCTATGGCTGTGATCTTATCCAAGAGAGCGGCATTTTACTCAAACTGTATCTTCTCTTCTTTGCTTAATCATGTACTGCACATGTTTTTTTTTTTCCTGGGTTTTTTGTTGATGCCTTTTACTCATACTGGTTCTATCTGTTTCTGTTTCATTATTTTTTATACTCAAAGACCTCAAGCTGTGATGGCTACCGGTCAAGTTTTATTCCACCGATTCTATTGCAAGAAGTCATTTGCCCGTTTCAATGTCAAGGTTAGAAGTGATATTTTCACCTACAGTGTTAAATTTACGAGAGATGGGCATTGGTTTATTTAGTTCTAGCAATGCAATTTTTATAATTCCCACTTATTTGTCTAATATGTTTTTAGGATGTGCTAATATTTTGCAGAAAGTTGCTGCTAGCTGTGTATGGCTTGCATCTAAACTCGAGGAAAGCCCTAGGAAATCAAGGCAAGTCATCATTGTTTTCCACAGAATGGAGTGCAGGAGGGAAAACTTACCCTTAGAGTTTTTGGACCTGAATTCAAAGGTTAGAAATATGGTATCACGTTTGCATAAGATGCTTCAGTATTATTCTCTTCCCTTTGGCTCATAGCTGGTTTTAGTCCTTCTGGTGTTAGGCACTTAAGACTTTTTTCTCTGTGTCAATAGAAGTTTGCAGAGTTGAAGATTGAGTTGAGCAAAACAGAGAGGCATATATTGAAGGAAATGGGTTTTGTTTGTCATGTTGAGCATCCCCACAAATTCATTTCAAACTACCTAATGACCCTTGGAACACCCCAAGAATTAAGACAAGAAGCATGGAACTTAGCTAATGATAGGTACTTCTCTGAATCAAACATTTTGATTGTATCATTCTACAGTTGTTTTGTGAGTCTTATGTGCGTAGTCTGTATATTCAGTTTGATGAATTTGTGCGGTGTTGCTTTTTCTGCGGAAAAAATAAAAATAAAAATCATGTTCAACATGACCATCAATTTTGGAACTAAGAATTATTTGTTCAGATGCAGGGATTCCCTAAACAAAACCACAGCAGATATAAAATAATATTCCTTGCTTAGTGAAATATCTTATCTGTTGTCAGTTTTCAGATAACTGCTTTTTTGCACTTGATAATTAAATAGTCATTCTGATCTCAATAAAAAGAGCATTTACTTTTTGACAGGATCCTATCAGTTTAAGTTCCTCTTCCCTTGTAACTTATTTCCTCAGATCAATTGTAGCAATTGCATCATCTTTCAAGGCTTGTAATTGCTGTGAAAAAGATTGCCAAGTACTTATAACATAAGCTCCAGTTATGATGTAACAGTTAGCATGAATTACAATCTTTTATAGGCTTACCTGGTTGCTTATGTCTTCAAGCTATTAGTACAAGACAGAATTGCACAACAAGGTGGTTAAAAAAACAGACGCTGCTTCTGTTTTAAATTAATGGATTTTGGTGTTATTGCTTGTTTGGTATATCTTCTTTTCCTGGGACTTACTAGTGTGCTTTCTTGTTGGTATTTTTCTACATTAATCCATTCTCTTGGCAGTTTGCGGACAACTTTGTGTGTTCGTTTCAAGAGTGCAGTTGTGGCTTGCGGTGTTGTATATGCTGCAGCTCGTAGATTTCAAGTACCTCTTCCTGAGAATCCACCATGGTGGAAAGCATTTGATGCAGAGAAATCTGGGATTGATGAAGTTTGTAGAGTTTTGGCTCACCTATATAGCCTTCCTAAGGCACAGTATGTATCAGTCTGCAAGGATGGAGATTTTTCTTTTTCGAACAAGTCTTCAGATTCCCAATTGCAGCTGATTTCAAAGGTGGTTCTGTATTTCCTTTTTTCTCAATTTGATTCTAAATCAACCTTTTAATTTTTGGTTTTTACAATATTTGCAACTGTCTCCTTGTCATCAAAGGCGGTATATTGCCTAGTGACAAAGCAAGTATGGCTGTTGTTTCCGTAAGAAAGAAAAAGACAACCCGGTTGTTTTGATAGGAAAAAGGGTAGAAACTGCAAGCATTGTAGAGATTACTTCATATTCATCTGAGACAGGGATGCTTCATCATATAAACCCATTGACTGAAATTATATTTTTTCTGCTCTTGAATAGGAAATTCCACGGGCTACTAGCCTGCCAGCTAATAATAATTCAACTGAACCAAAGGCAGCTCCAAGTGGTGTTAATGCTGAATCTGGCGGATCCAAGGACATAACAAAAGTTGCCTTAGACAAGCTGAAGGAATCTAAAAAAACAGATGATGAATCCAAGCCCGCTGAGGGAGAAGCAAGAGAAGAGCTCATTCCAAGATCAAAGTCTGATCACAGAACAGAAGCGAGTGGTGACAAGAGCAAGGAACGGGACAGGGACAGGGACAGGGAGAGGGAAAGAGAGAGGGATAGAATAAAGGCCCAGGATCGTGATAGGGGCAGAGATTCTGACCGGGAAAGAGAGCGTGATGAAATTGAAAGAGACAGGGATAGGGCTAAGGATCGAGGTCGTCATCGTTCAAAGGATAGAGGAAGAGAGTCAGGTCAGCTCCCAAGTTCCGTTTTGTCCAGATGTTACACTAAATTTGGGGGCTAGCAATTCTCTGTTTAAACTTTTATACAACTTTAAGTACTCTTATAACACATTTCTAATTGTATATGTGATCTTTTAATCTAAATGCAGGACACTCGGAGAAATCAAGGCATCACTCCTCACGTGGTATGTATTTTAACTTTTCTTACGAGGTCCATCTTTTTTTTTCTCGATGTTAAATGGCAGTCCTCTCATCTGGGACCATTCTGCATTTTCAGACCGTGACTACCACAGTTCCTCCTATTCATCAAGGGAGAAGGACCGGCATAGGCACCACTCATATGCTTGAACTGGCCATTGGAATGTGCGCACACTTCCTTTTTAGAGATGTAGCAGCAGGGATTGCCAGTACAGTACTTGTATATTAATTTTTTTTTTGAGGTGTTATAACATATCCTGTCTGTCCCATTGCAACATGACAGAGGAGCAAGAAAACACCATCATGTTTACAGTTAAATTGAGATCTAAAACATAAGAGTTCCATAATGCTAGTTCCCTCACCACTATCTGTGCTGTACTTGAACTGGTCCTTTTTTTGTGAAAAAAATGTCGAACACTGGGTTTTCTTTTCTGTTCAAGTTACGACAAGGTGATCATGTCATTATGGTCAGGCGAACCACCCCATTTTAACAGGAGGGGATGCCGATGCTGGCCTATTGGCTTAAACGTCCCTTGTGCTATAGTGCTAGCGAATCCTTTTGAAGTGAGAGCGTGGACTCACTCTCAGCGATGAGTGATTACTTGCATATACTGACATGTTAAATTGGAGCGTGGACTCACACTCAGTGACGAGTGATTACTTGCATGTACTGGCATGTTAAATTGGAGGGGAATTATCATATGGGGTAGTAACATGCGATGCCATTAATATGACCACAAAAAACATGCTATTGTATTAAATGTGGTGTCTGACAGGTTCTGATAAAAATAACAATTGTTGCATACCAAACGATCCGTTTCTCATAGAGGCGGTGTAGGGCACCCAGTCTTCCTGCAGGTTAAGAAACTTGAATTCCTAATAACAACCCGCAGTGCACCGCACAAGCAATTTTACCGTCAGTTGAAGGCTCGGTGTAAACCAGATACTTCATGTTGGACTCTCAAAGATAACTAATAAAAGTAACAGATGTCTGAATACACATTTTAATCGTCATCATCACCAAGAATTGCAGCAACAAATCTCGTCGCTGAAGGATTTGCAGCTATTGAACTCCTAGCCACAGTACTAAATGGCTAGTGAAGAGGCAAGAAGAGCACACATTGCAGTAACTCACAGTTTCTTGTGCTTTGAAAAGAAAAGAAACCCTATATTCAGTGTTATGAGCAACAGGCAGCGAGCAAGCAGTAGGGCATGTTGAAGAAAGATCAGAATGCAGATCCGCCATCCTTTGTCTTGCCAAGCATCACGTCTTTAGCCTCGTTGATTTTTGAAGCAAGGTAGTGGCTACCACCCGCATCAGGATGGTTTGCTACCATCACTCTTCTATGTGCTTCTTTCACCTTCTCTGCTCCAGCATTTTCTCTGCTCAAAAAAACCCCATCTTTCTAACTTCAATTATTAATCATAATTTCAAGATAATCAAGCAAATAATATCCATCAAGTAAGAATAATAAGAAAAATTAATTACCTAATGCCAAGAATAAGAGCAGCTTCTTTTCTCGTCATTTTAGGCTGAAACCCTCCATCATAAAATTTGCGTATTCTAGGCTTTGGTGGTCTTGCTTTAAATGATTGCCATGCCTGGACCCCGTATTTCCCAGCCAGTGCTGCTGCTGCTATTGCTAGCCCAGCCAGAAACGGCGTCGCCTGAAAATCACTCCATGATTATTAATTTCACATCTATCATTATTTCAACCATCGATCAAATCCAGAATTATTTCAGAGAAAAATCTAATCAAATCGCTCACCATTTTTTTAAAATTTATAAATAGTAATAAATAGAGAGAATGAATACTGCTAAAAACTCTTCAAAGCTTTCTGTAGAAGAAGAAGAAACAGTGAAAGAGCTTCTCGCTGATTGCGTGCATCTCCCAGTTTCTGTGGCACTTTACAGTCCCAACCATTCACTGCCAGGTGTTGCACAACCAAAGGACATTTTGGTGATTACGTGCTTTTATTTTGTTTAAAATGGACCAGGCCACATCTACGGCCCACAATATCTAGGGTTATATTTATTTCCAAGCAGACGTAAAAACCCACCTAAACCCTCTCCTTTTTCATTTGCCCTGGTACTTCACTGCTATTCTCCAAGTCTTGAAAGCCACCAAAACCCAAGAGCTCAAGCTTGTTAATTCTTGAAGTAGGCATAAAGTGCTTTCTGGGTTCTTTTCCTTTTGAAGTTCTCTGTGTTCTTTTGTAGAGATTTTGGTGATATTTTTGGGCAGGGAAAGGAAAGGAATGGGGAAACTAGGAAAGAAAGCAAGGAAGTTTGCAAAGAAGAATTTACAGTCAGTGCTTAAAAGGCAGAGGAAGGTCAAGTCTTTCTTCAAAAAGAAAGCTTCTAAAAGTATGTCTACCTTTGCTGTTTGTTACTTTCGTTGCGTTCTTTGCTTTTGTTGTTGCTGTAGCTTGAATTTGTTGGGTAATTATTGGTTTAGGAGATGAGAGAGCTCAAGCTGAAGATTCCGATGAAGAAAGAGAAGAAAAGTATAGTGGAAGGTAAAGAAAGCAGGTGCAAATTAATGCTGCAGGGATTAGGCGCATTGTTTTGACCGTGAAAGATTGAGTTTAATTTTGTTTTGCTCTCAAGATATGATTAAGGGTTTCTCTTAAATAGTTCATCTGCTTCTAATTGATATTATATTTGTCTGTCTATGCTTGTTTGCTTACATAGGAGAATGATCTTGAGAATTGGGTTGTTTATTGATTTATTTTGTATGCAGAAACAATGAAGTTGAAGATTTTAAGGATATTTCCCTTGATGCCGTATTTGGTGAAGATGGTAGTGATATGGATGGGGATGATTCAGATAGTGACGGATATTTATCTGAGGTTTTGAATTATGTTATGCCAACTTTGTTTTTGTTAAACTTAATTTGGCACATGTCCTTTGCAAGGTGTTTCTAACATTGTTGGTCATGGTAACTTACCAGGATACAAGTTGTTCATATAATGGTGAAACTAGAATTGAGAATCATCTGGAAGGTCAGGATACCATCACCAGTTTCTCTGGTATTTTTATTGTTTTTTTTTTTAATTTTAATTTGCCCCTTTTATTTATGTTTTTAGTAATTTGCATGCAGAGTACAATGGTGGTGGTGATTTATCGGTGCAGAACAAGGAAATTCATTTAGAACTGGCAAAGAAAATGAAAAGGCTGAGCAACTTGAAAGCCAAGGTGATCAAATCATAATTTTTTATTATCTCAAAATAGAGTTTTCAAAGGATTTATAAGATTTTGAGTAATGTTTTTCATATAAAGTTAGAACTTCAGTTTGTTGGTTGACTCTAAAATTTTTGAGTGCTAAAATCTAAACCTATCATAATCTAATTGTGATAGGGAATCTCGTTTTATCCTACAAACCCATTTAGGCTTGGACCATTTGTCTGGAATCTGTGATAGTTTTTTGGTATTGAGTTTCTCTTGTTAGTTTCTGCACTTAAAATGTCTGCTAGGCAGCAGAATCCATTTTATGAATTTACTGTCATTATGTAGAGATTCAACTAAACTTTGTCACTTAAAATTTGACAGGATCCAGAATTTGCGAAGTTTTTGGAAAGCAACAAGGAACATCTGCAGACATTAAGGGATGAGGAAAATGTAAGCTATGAAGTCTTAATTTTTTTTCCAGGACTCTTAATATCTTGAGAAATTAAAGGTGTGGATTTTTTTTGCAAATTCCAAGCTCCACTTGCTTGTATATCTATCTTATGACTACTAGATGTTTATATATGTAGCTGTCATCTATATTACTCTCCATATGATCTGTTCTAAGACAAGAAATTTCTCCCTCCATCAAAGTTTGTAATTTCCAGTCATTGAACCTTATATTCAATCTGGTTTGTGTCTGTTGTATCTTTTTAACCCCCCTTTATCAAGTTTTAACCATCTCTTCCTTCACAGCAGTTTTCAGATGAAGAAGAGTCTGATGAGGATGGCAGGGAGTCCACAAATAAAATGGGGAATTTGAGTAGCTCTACTTTTGATTCTTTGTGTGAACTAGTCAAGGAGCAGAATAATGTTCCTGCTTTTGTAAGGCTATTAAACGGGTACAGGGCTGCCTGCCACTATGGATCTGAATCACCCACCATTGTTGAAGACAGCCACACTTTTTGCAAGATCTTGACATTCATGCTCCAAGAGGCTGATAATATATTTCGTAAAATTCTGGGAATATCAGGCTCCAATGATAGGAAAGAGGCCATCTTGGAACTGAAGAATACTTCCAAATGGAAAACTTTGAAGCCAGTAGTCAAGTCTTACTTGAGAAGTACCCTGTTTCTCCTAAATGTGGTTACTGATTCTCAGATATTAGCCTTCGCCTTAACCAGACTCAAAGCTTCTATAGTATTTTTTGCTGCCTTTCCTCCTTTACTAGGCAGACTCATCAAGGTATGTTAATCCTAGAATGTTTCAAATTTGTAACTAATGCAACTAAGAAACCAATTTTCTGGGGATTATGATAATAGCATCTTCCTTTCTTGTCTAATTTGTTTATTACCAAGGCTTGCACAATTAATGCACAAATTTGCTTTATATTGGATGTTAGGGTCTTTAACTCTTAGGAATTTCAGACCTTAGCGTTATTCAGTACTTCTTGTGAATTTGTCAATCTTATGCTTTAAGCGGTTGTGCCTTACCAAGACTTGGAATTGTATGCAGATATCAGTTCATTTATGGGCAACGGGCAAAGGAACTCTATCAGCATGCTCACTTCTCATCATCAAAGATGTGGCTGTTGTGTTTAACTCAAATTGCTTTGAAACCTGCATGATTAAAGCATACAAGGCTATTATTGACCACTGCAAGTTTGTGGAGCCAGTTCTGTTTAAGCATCAACAATTTCTGAAAAGCTCCTTCATCGAGCTATGCTCTCAAGATCTGCAGAAAGCTTATAGCAAGGCAATGGTTTCTATCCAGCAACTTGCCAAGATATTGCAGCTTGGTTTACGAACTAAGAAGGTATTCACTCAGAAAGCTATACTGGTACCTTGTTTTGTTTAATCCTAACATCGTTTTACATCTGTCCTTGGTTGCATTGCTGATTTTCGTACTTTATTTTCCAACTTTTAAAGAGTGAATTGATCAAAATTCCGTGTTGAAATGTTGCTTTTATGCAGGAAGCAGTAAAGAAGATATGCAGTTGGCAGTATGCTAACTCTGTAGATCTGTGGGTTGCATTTATTTCTTTGAATATACATGATTATGATCTGCAGCCTCTGCTTTATACAATAATTCAGATCATAAATGGAGTAGCTGTCCTGTTTCCAGGACCAAGATACATGCCTTTAAGAGTTAAATGCATCCAATGGTTGAATACTCTCTCTGAATCTAGTGGAGTTTTCATCCCAGTTACATCATTAGTGCTGGATATTTTGGAATATAAAATAGGCAAGGAGAGTTCGAAACCTGGAAAGGACTTCAGCTTTTCATCTGCGGTCAAGGTCAGTACAAATTTTACTTATCCTGAGGCCGTTTTCTTATGTGGCTTACATGGCGAGGCTGTTTAGCTCTATGATATGTGTTCAAACCTTTTATTCTTGATTTCTTTTACTATCAATCAGTTGGTTTTTAAAATCCACCTGTTAACTCTCTGGCATTAAGTGTGCTGCATGCATGGTTAAGCTGATGGTGGTTGTTTCCTTTGTAGTTGCCAAAGCATTGGCTAAAATCTCGAAACTTCCAGGATGAGTGTGTTTTTTCAGCCATTGAGCTGTTGGCGGTGCACTTTGCTCAATGGAGTTATCACATATCATTTCCTGAACTTGCAACCATTCCACTCATCTATTTGAGGAAATTCCATGAGATGACTACTATTGAGAGTTTACGGCGTGTGGTGAAGCGTTTTATTGATCAGGTAAATGATTTCTTTTCATAGAGTAAGGTGTTAGATTATATCATAGTTAAGAAAGTTTAAACACGCTACAATCTACTTTTGAGATTGCTCTTGGGAAATGGTTCATAGGAATTTGGTAGTTAGTATAGGAGGAAAATAGTCAGGCATTATAGATATGTTTTAGAGATCTCTGTGAATCCAAGTCAATATAAGTAATGGGCTCGCTTAGCACTCAGGCTTTTGTTGAGAGACAAGAAGCTTTCCTGCCTGGCCACTTGGTTCTTTAAGCTGAGTATCTAGGGCTTTCTGGGCATGGCGAGATCCTGAGTTGTAAATCATTGAGCCTAGTCAAACAAAAAGGATTTCTTAAGAGGTTGAAGCTTAGTTTATATTACATGTTGGCATATTTGTTTGAAAGCTCTGGGTTGTGATTGCAATCCTTGTGGTGGCAATATGTTTTCAGCACCTTAATGGGAAATTCCTTAATTTTGATTATGTTAAATTTAACCATAATCATTGGTATTCAGCAGTGCTTTATTGCTATTCTTAGAAGGATGTATGATTCACATAACACTATTTCTCATACTTGTTTTTAACTGTAGGTAGAGCAGAACATTGAGTTTGTCCGGAAGAAGAGAGATGAGGTTACTTTTTCTCCAAATGATCAGCAATCTGTTGAATCATTTCTTCAGGTTTGCCCCCCTCCTTTTTCTATGCATCCATCTGTGACCTATTCTCTTGTAGGACTCAGTGGATGTCACTTGTTCTAAATTTGATTTCTGGTTACTGTGCAGCTTGAAAAGTGCGGTGGCAATGCTCCATTTACAAAATATTACACGAGTGTAATTGAAAAGGCTGGTTCCAGAAATCTGCTTATGAATGGAAAAATAAGGTGTGCCCTCTATCCCTGCTATGAAATCTACTGCACCGAATGGCTTGTGCTGTGATGGTGTCAATTTTTTAGGCATCTTATCCCTGCTATGAAAACCCGCTTAAATAATCATGATGCAAATGAATGAGGCGTATATTGACATATTTGGGCCTGTACAGATGTTGAACTGAATGCTAAGTTACTAGTTGGGGTGGGCTGTTCCCATTTTGAATCAAACTGAACTGATAATTGAGTCATTCTGTCGCTCAATGCCAGATTTTTTTATGTTGATATTCAATGACATCTGGAAAAGGAGATGCCAATTGTTTTCAAATTGGATTTGGTTTATTTAATTGAGATTCCAATATCCCAGTCGTGTTAGGCCAAGAGCAGAAGAAATAAGGTAATGCTGGGTCAGGCCCAGTGTAGTTGTTTCTACTAGGATTGCCACGCAATATAGTCACTGCATTGGCTCACCATTGCGAGCATGCCCCCTTGTAGCTGCAACATTGTAAATCTCTGCATTCTCTAATAAATCTGTATTTGACTATGATATATAATAACAAACTTGAGAAGGGCTTTGGTTTGTGGTAACTAAAACTGATGTTTTCTGTAGCTTCCTGGAGCAGAAGAAAACAAAAGGAAAGAGGCAACAAACTCCAAAGAACGCAATGAATGTGGATTTGGCTGTTAATGCTGAAGGAAATTCACATTAAATTAGAACTATTTCGATGCAATGTAAACAGTGGAGAGAAATGGAAGAACTTCAGCTTTCCTACCACCATGTTTTATGTTTGTAAGATCATAAAAACCTCAATTACAGTGTCTCACAGCAAATTTGAACCGTGTCTTATTTAGCCTTAAAAGACATTCTGATCTTCAAACAGGGTTCAAGTTCATTTTTGTTTAGATTTTAAGATGTTAGGTCTGACGAATCCTCGGTGAATCTTGTTCATCATGTTTACGAGAAGAAAACTAGATAAAGTTTTGGGTTAATATTTGCTGTCTAAAGAGAGTTTGATTGTCCAAGCTAGTGAAGTTCGAACTAAGCGATAAAGATATGAAGCCCATCAAATGTTCATGTCATTTCTTGCATTACGTGAACAATGATGGCTAACATTTGGTCAGTATCATATTATTTTGTTCGTGGCTAATATATTAATTAGACATTGAAACATAATTGAAGCGGCCATCTCATACAACTATGGTCGTGCATGAAACTGCTGTTCTATTTCCATGACATGGAAAGCACTATATATATATCTTTTAAATAGTTTCACGTTTGTGTAATAATATTTCTAGATCTTATTGTGCTCCATTAGTGGATGGCACTTTTGGGAGCAGCAATAAACGAAAACAGATGCTTGCAAGCTGTTTACTTTGCTAGCCCCTTTCTTCATAAATTATACTGTCACTTGAAGTCAATTTTGCTCGTTTTAGTTTTTCCTTAACCAGTACTCATCTTTGGGGTTCTTGGACCACGGGCAAGGGCAACTTCTATGCTGGCCGGGGCATTATAATGTGTTATGACATCCTGTAATTAATGATCAATATTAGAACAAGTGGGAATACATGTATATTGTACACAACACCAACACACACACACACACACATCCACTTAAAAAATTATTATCTAAAAACATGTATATTGTACACAACACACACACATACACATCCACTTAAAAAATTATTATCTAAGCCATGTTCACGCGTTCCCTGGGAACAAAATTTTAAAGGCGATGGGCGTCTCTGATTGAATTGTTTTTAGCCTTTTCGTCATCCCTAGGTCCCTGTTGAATGCTTGGGAGCTAGCCACCAACAAATGACACCCGTCTGTGACTACAAAAAAGGTCATCTTAGTTTTTCTGTTGCGTTTCACTACACGGTCAATTTTGGCCTGCTGAACTATACATGCTGCCAGGACTCCGCTGACCTCTCACACAATTGGTGCACAACCAAGTGATGCCTTTGCCCGAGCACTGGAATGATGACTGTTGCACCCCAAAACCCTAAGCAAACTCCACGATCCTTTCCCTCTCTTATTCCCACTACTCGTTTCAATCACCTTTTCAGATTGAATCATCCTCGATGGGCTCTTCTTGCCCTGCCTCATCTTGATATCCCTTAGCTCCATCTCCATTGGAAGTCTTCCAACTCCAAATGCCAAAAAGTACCATCTTGGCTTCGTTGGGGTACCTAGTATTGATACCTTCTTCATCGAAAAGTCATACCTATCATCGCATTTCCTTGTTGCGAACCCATGATTCTCTGATAAAGGCTCTTGCAAAGTCTTGTCACTCTTTTCCTGTAGCTGTTTTGATGATGTGGCCCTTGACTTGTTGGAAGAGGATGATTTCAATGGGAAAATGAAGCTCTTCTTGGTATTTTTAGCTTTCTTTGTGCTTTCCAGATTCTGTGTTTTTTCAGCTACTGCTTCTCCTTTGCAAGTAATGAGCTTTCCACAGAAGATGATTTCATCTTTGGGATAAATATTAGAGGCGGTGAAGTCTTCGCTGAAGAACTCGAAGAAATCTTGATCAAAAGATGAATCCAAGCTTTCATCTTCTCTGGCGAAGCCATCCCAATTAGAAGCATAACCATTTAGCGGAAGATCACAGAGAGACAGTGTTTCTGCTGCATCATCAAAATCTTGCAACTCACTGTTGTCATGTACCGGTACTTGATGAAGGCTCGTTTCTTTTGCAACCATGGTGAATATCAAGCAACGGCAAGAAAACTTGAGGGTTCCACAGAGAACTAAGAAAAGACTCTTGAAGGAAGTTTGTAAATGGCTTTGCTGTAGATTGATGAGAAAAACTGGCCAAGTTGTCACGACTATATATAAGCCAGGAGCTTGAGGGGAAAGATGCTTTGACATTTTGCTTAAAAATAGGTTGTGTAGGAGTGGGGGCGGCTTCTAGAGGGCAAAGAACAAAGAAGATGAAGTAAAAGAAAGTAGAAAGTATCGAGAATATTAATACAATTCTTGATCTTAGAAACTCCTTCTAGAAGAGCAGGCGGTCAATATCGATGAACAAAACAGGTTTAATTGTCCCGAGCTTCAAGTTTTTCTAGAGGTTGATTAAAGCTTTCGCAACATGCATTTCCAGGGTCGGCTTGTTGGAACTTGGAATATTTTTAGTGGTTAGTTAGGACACAACGCCTGTCTCTACGTAGATGTCTTTTTTTAGAAAAGAAAATAGGAGGATATGTGGAGCTTTCGCGTGCTGTGAGAGTGATATATGCGTAGTTCAGGACCCAATTGGTAGTCTGGTAGGCACACACGGGGCCATAAATTCTGCGTGAACCCCCACACCCCCTCTTTAATGTTAAAAAATAATTTAAAAAAATAAAAAATATATTATTTTAATACACTTCAAAAAGAATACCAAAATATAAAATACTCCAATTAAACACCCATTTAAACTTGTGGGTCTCTGCCCTGACTCGCCCTTAGCACTTAATTGCTACTGTGTCTTCCACGTGGAACGTGTTGAGATCTAGAAAGTCGATGGACACATCAAGATATTCTTGGTCAGCAAGTATTTTTCTTCTGGGTACGTACCATTAGTTTTTTTCTTGGCTATCAAGTTAATATGTCGTCATTGTTATCATCTGAAAATGAAGGAATTGGGAAATGAGTATGCGGAGGTAACCTTCTTGTTAGTTGATATTTTACCACAAAAATAAAAATAAATAAAAATATAAATAAAGGATTTTTAAACAATGAAAGTTGCAGAGTACTGTTAGTTAATTTTAAGAGCAGATCGTTGCCAATTTTACCATTCAATTAATATCAACACCATTATATGTATATATAAAGTGCAACGAATGCACGGAGTAAGAGTGCTCTTAAGGGATGGTATTTGGACATCTTAATTACTAAACAATTAATAGTTCTAGAGAAATATATATTCAATGATAAAAAGATTATGCTGTGCCAATTGTCTAATGCATTGACCAAAAAATATGGTTTTATGTCACTCGTTTTCGTTGCTGGAGAATATAACAAAATTAATGACAATATTAACGTTTTAAATATAATTGGTTATGTTAATTTAATTATCTACGTGATTTCCTACTATTAACTATTATACTTAAAAAATTTTGGGTTTTTTCCACCCCCTTGGGGTTCATATGAACGCCACCTTCTTCTTTTTTTAAATTTTTTGGGATTTTTTCT